TGGGTAAGTCCGGACATTCACCTTCTTCTGCGATTTGCCCTCCCCATGCAGGATCTGGCAGCCGAGCACCTTCTTGATATCCCGGAAGCACTTGGCCAAGTTGTCGCGCCGGCTGTCGCTCGCGGTCTCGAATTCGGCCGATAGGGATTTTTCTTCAATCCATTGATTGATCCTCTTTTTTGCCGCGTCGACGTTCAAGCCCCGCAGGCTCAGCCCCTTCAGTTGCTTCTCCCATCGAGCGTACCCCTCCTCGCGGTCCAGTACCCGCTTACGGGTCGTCAAGGCCTCCTTCGCCAGCGCAGCGCACGCTCTAGAGAACTCTGCGTCTGTCGCGTGCGTCAGCAACGCGGAAAGCAGGCCGGTCCTCTCCTCGCTCGATAGCCCTTCTACGACCTCCGTCGCGTCTGTCTTGTTCGCCTCAACCAATCCGGCCTTCTTTCCTCGTCTCGAAGGTGCCATAGCGGCCGAGGATGAGTCAACTGTCGGCTTACCGCCCGCTCGCGTTTCCAGCAGCGGCACGATTTCGACGGAGTGGCCGTCGACGACAACCGTCTGGCGTCCGCGTAGGAACGCCTGCTCGACGCCGTTTAGCAACGGACCCTCAAGCGTGTGCCCGCTGAGGGTCCTCAGATTGTTTAGGCGGACGCCAGCAAGTGGATGCTTTGCCGCGAAGCGTACCGACAGGACGCTCTGCAGTTCCTTAAGATCGCTACCCGTTTCCGGCGCGTCATCGAAGAACAGGACGATCGACGAGCCCGGTGCGAGCGTATGCGCCGGCGCGGCGGCTTTGAGCTTGGAGGCGCCTTTCTTCATGCGGTGCGACTTCAACGTAAGGCGGCGGCTATCGCGTCTTCAATCTGGGGGTAGGCCATGAAAAACTCTACCGCAACGCTCGACGCCGTGATCCGCTGCATGAGCGCTAAATCCGCCGGTCGCAGGGAATAGACCAGCCTCTTGGCGATCGAGAACTCCCAATCCTTGCAACCGGGCGGAGCCGTAAAACGGGCGCACACAACCCGCAGGTCGGAGGCGCCGATCTTTCGTGGCCTGCCGTCAAGGTAAACAATCGGGCAGTGCTCCAGGATGATTTCTCCCGCCGCCTGATAGCTGGCCGCCGCCCTTGAGTCTTTCGCGATCAAGAAATTCTCTCGATAGCCGTGCGTCGATGCTCCAATTACCCCGCCCCTGCCGATGCGATCGGCCGCCGTTCGCAAAATCGGCAACTCACCCGCTGGTATGACGCCGCCCCTCTCGTCGGCAAACGTCCATCGGTCAGCGATGAAAGGCACACCGAAGGACCGGCTGGATCGTTCGAAGCGCCCCACCGGAGGTCTCTTGTAGTCGGCGGGGTCGATCATCCTCATGTCGCCCTCCAAGCGGAAACTCCTCTCGACCAGCCCATGCTCTTGTTCCAAGAGAAAATTGGCGGAGTACTCCCATCGCGAGACGTGGATGATCAGGGGCCACTTGAACTCGTCACCGTCGCCCGATGCAAGACAGAATCGCCTGACCTCGCTCTTGAGCACGGGCAAATTGCCGACGCCGCTTTTCCAGCCTGGGCCCAGCACTTCGCCCAAGAGGTGTTCTAAGGGGTTCAAGCTCCATGCACTGAGGATTGCCGCTCCAGTTCCGACAACATAGGCGCTGTGCCGTGGCGTGGTCGGCGCGGCGCACCCCGCGAACATCTTGCATGCCGCCAATCGATCGGAGAACGCGGCGCCGCAGTGGGGCGTGCTCACCTTTCGCATGGACCGGCATCGGTCAGCGAACACGCTCAGCATCTCTCGTACGCCGCGCCGCCGCTCCAGCGGAGTGGTGGTTGCCATCTCGAATTCCCCAGTGCTGAGGCCTGCGGCGCAGGCCAACATGAAGGTTCGTCGCGAGATTGTCATTAATAGCAGGAGCAGATTCTAAGGTACCAAAGCCAGCCGACCGCGCTCATTGAGGGGGAAATCCCTGCATTGTCGACGACGACCAAAATGCGCGCAGCGGGTCGGCGTCGTCGCTCCGTTTGTCCATCCGAATAGACAAATCTCTCGGGTTCGATGGCCAAATGCCGGTCCCGACCCGGTTGTAGAGGATCGCTGATCGTCCGCAAAGGCGGTCCTCGAGCTGGCGGCCTCGAACGACTTAGCGTTGATCGTTAAGCCGGGAGAGGAGTGAGTGGATCAGTCAGCCGATGGGTTTGGCGACGCATCCCCCGGCGTGAAGCTGACGCCGAGGACATGATCGGCCGCCCGTTGCCCCAGCCCCGCCGCTTGCACGACAAGTTTCTTGTCGTCCCTCAGCTTTTTCCGCCAGCCGTCGATATAGGCGGCCGACTGTTCGATCGTGGGCGGGCCGATGCCGGCCGCCGCGCAGAGGAACGCCGACCCGAACTCGGCGACCAATTCTTCTTTCGAGTAGCTGGGACTGCCGAAGACGTGGGCGCCCTCCTCGCGCTTGCGGTTGAGGCGTTTCTCGTGGCCGGTCGAATGGGCCAGTTCGTGGAAGAGTGTGGCGTAGTACGACTCCGCCGACGAGAACCATTCGGGGCTGGCGATCTTGATCCGGTCGATGCGGGGATAATAGACGGCGACAGTGCCGGCGTGCTCGATCGTAGGCGGGCTTTCGTAACCAGAGACGATCTTCTCGGCTTCGCGGATCGGATCGATGGGCGGCGGCCGGGCGGCGTCCGCCGCCTCGGGCGGCCGTAGGTTCTCGCACTGCTCGGCGTTGAAGACGTTGTAGTGCCGGAGCACCGGCAGAGTGATCTCGTCGCCGGTCTCCCGGTCGGTCGTGGCGTACTGTTTCCAGAAGACCACCAAGCTCCCCTTCTCCCCTTTGCGGATCTTCGCCCCTTCCTTCTTCGCTTGGTTGAACGTCAACCAGTCGTCCGAGGTATAGCCCCGAACCCATGACGTGATCGCCAGCAAGAAGACGTTGACGCCGCGGTAACGGTTGCCCGTGACGAGAGACTTCGGCCAGCCATCGGCGCCTCTGTGTCGCACGATCGGGTGACGCCACGGCGGCAGGTTGCCGTGGTCGATGAAGTCCAGGATCTTGTCGGTGACTTCCTGGTAGATGTCTCGCTTGGGTTTTGAATCGGGCATCGCGCGAGAAGAGTGCCCCGCTTGAGGTGCTTTGTCAACGAGTTTCGCTTACCCCTTGAAACCGCGCGACAAGACGCCCGCGAGTACGCCGCGTATCGTATCGGGCTCGTAGCGGCGGTAGACCGGGAAGCGAACGAGCGGGACGCCAGCCGCACGCAAGGCGTCGGCGAGGAAGTCGTCCCGAGCCCGCTGCTCATCGGACAGATGGCTGGCGTCATCGAGTTCGATCGCCGCGACAATCGTCAGCGCCCGCTTCGAGCAGAGCACGAAGTCGATGTGGCGCTGGCGGATCTTGTACCCGGCCGGCGCGTCCCAGAGCTTCGCGGGGACGGTGATCACGTCGGTCAGGCTGACCTTCATCGAGATTTCGTAGCGGTCGCCGACGGCCGGCTTCAGGCCCGTCTTGTAGAAGCGGGTCTCGCCATCGCTGAGGAGTCGCTCGCGGCTGCGGTACGGCAGCTTCTTGCCGTGCCTACTCTCCTTGTTCGTCGAAAACCTGGGGCGGTTTTGCGTCCTTGTCATGCATCAGCCGTAGCACGGCCCATCGTCCGTTGCACGTTCTTTTCGCTTTTGCCTAGCGAGCCGGCGTCGCAGCAGAGGCGGCCGCTTGATGGGTTTAGCCGTGTCCTTTGTCCCTCGCGTTGCGGGTTCCTGAGAAAACGCCTCCGGTGCGGGTGCGAGGCGTTTGTCTCATGAACCCTAACCACGAAAGGAACCACCCAATGACGACCTCAACCAACCATAAGCCAGCCGCGACCCTGCGTGACGGAAGTCTCAAAGCCACCTTGTGGCGCAAGCAAAGCGAGAACGGCGTGTTCTTCAACGTCACTCTCTCCCGCACTTACAAAGACGGCGAGGCGTACAAGGACGCCAACAGCTTCAGCGGCGCCGAACTGTTGCGGATCGCACGGCTAGCCGGCAAGGCCTACGACTTGGCCGATGAGCTGCGAGCGACCGACAGCGACGACGGGGCTCAGCAATGAGCCCCCTCTTCTCCAAAGCGAAAGGCCGGGCGCGCAACGCCCCGGCCGATCGCTCGGTGGAGGTCCAGCGCCTAGCGGACGTTTGCCATGAACAGTCGCACGCGCTCCGAGACCTTCGTGATCGGCTCGCCGGCTCGATCAACCCGGATGACTTCGACTTCATGACCGAACTAGGCGTCGAGCTGGCTGCGTACTCCGCGATCCTGCGGATGGCGCCGGAACGACAGATCGACTGGCTTTCCCACACCATCAAGCTGGCCGAGACAACCGTCCGCCGCGTCGCAAACGAGCAAGGAGGTGGAGCATGACCAACGGACCAACATTTATCGAACTGCCAACTCCTCCACAAACCGCGAGCCCGGTGCCGGAACTCACGAGTATCCACAGCTCCCCCCGTCGCGGCCCCTACGGCCGACGGCACTACCGCGGCAATTGCGACGGCCACCTCATCAAGAAGCTGCTGCGCTACTTCGGCGCCAAGCGGGTGCTCGACCCGATGGCCGGGAGCGGCACCTGCCGCGATGTTTGCCGGGAACTCGGGGTCGCCTGCCACACGATGGACCTCCGTCGCGGCCAGGACGCGGCGGACCCGGCCGGCTACGCCGACCTGCCGCCGGTTGACTTCGTCTGGATGCACCCGCCCTACTGGCGGATGATCCGCTACAACGACGACCCGCGCTGCCTGTCGAACGCGCCGACGCTCGACGCGTTCTTGACCCGGATGCAGCTCGTGCTGCGTAACTGCCAGGGCGTGCTGGACCGGGGCGGCAAGATCGTCGTCTTGATCGGCGGCTATAGCGACCGGGGCGTGTTCCAACCGTTGCCGCATCTTCTCGTTGCCGAAGCGGCCAAGGTGGGCCTGCGGATGGCGGCGACCGAGATCATCCGCTTGCAGTATGGAAACACGTCCAGCGGCAAGACGTACCGCTCGTCGTTCATCCCAGGCCTGCACGATCAATGCTTGGTGTTCGAGCCCGGGTCGCTGTAGCGGCGATCCTTTATCGACAGGCCGTCGCGGCGCAAGCCGCGGCGGTCTTCTCTGCTTTGACGGCAACGGCGCTGGCGTCGCGCTCTAGCGGCTACACGCTCCCCTTTCGCCGGTTGCTTGAACTGCCCAGCCGCGGGTGAGGCAGGTTCAACCCAACCCCCGAAAGAAGCAACAAACCATGCACCCACCCAACGACCCCCAGCGCGCCGCGAGAGCGGCCGCGATCGAAGCGGACCTCCGCTACTACACCGGCGACAGCGAGCGCTACCGTCACCCGCTGTGCCGCGGCGTGATTTATACGCCGGGCGTGCGGCACTTGGCCGAAGCGGCCGGCGCGTACTGGCTGATCGATGCGATCGTCAGCTGGCTGACCGATCCGGCGCTACGCCGCGCCGTCAAGAGCGACCCGCGTATCGGATCGCTGCACTTTTGGCGTCTGGAAGTCGATCCGCTGCAGAGCACCGCGGTGCTCACGGCGGTCGCCGACGAGGGCGAGACGCCCTTTGTCACGCAGGCGATCCCGCTGACCGACTTTCCGCTCGACTCGATCCAGGTCTGGGCGGGCTACGATGGACGCTACTGGACACTTTACCTCCCGAGCGAGCACTAGGCCGGTGCTCGCGGCCGCCGCCGCTGGGCGGTGGCTCTTCAAGAAGATCGACAACTTCGTCAACGAGCTGAGCAGCGGCTTCTACTAAACGCCAGCGAGCTAGACCGGTCGCCCACAGCGGGCGAGCCGGCCTATCTCTTGCACGCCCGCGGCAACCCACGCCGATGGGGATAACGCCCTCGCCCGTGGCCGTCTCTGCTCGGTGGCCCCCCGACTCACGCTAAGCTGAACCGTCAGGACGCCGCTTGTGTTCGCCCGCGTTGCCTTAAGTGAAAAGCGCGCCGCCTGTGTCCCGCTTCTCGCTCGGCTTCGGCGCGGTCTGTTCGGCGGCAAGTGTCGGCCCGATGAGCCTGACGGCCCGGCCGTGTCCACTGTGGCTTTCGTTGGCGAAAAAAATCTTCACCGTCTGGAGCTCGTGGCGAGCGTCTCTTGGTGGCTCGGCTTGGCGCATCCTGACCTAACGAGGCGCTGGGGGATGGTGCGTCGCATTTGCATCGTGGTTGCGGCGGTATTCAGTGGGAGTTGACGGGCGCCTTGGGGCGTGGAATTAGTTCGGAGGCAACGGGTAGCCAGATGTGTTTTTCGTGCCGAAAAACCCCTCCTCCGAAACGCCCGAGGCGTTTCTCCGGAGACATCTGGCGAGCGTCGCGCCGCTCGATCACGCGTCGCCTTGGTGTGGCCGGTCCACAGCAAGGCGACTTCTCACGCCGGGTCATCCGAGACCCGGCGTGAGAACGGGGCGTTTCGCCGCCCCGAGCCCCACGACCGCGGCGGACGGCGCCGCGACACGCGCGAAGGCGATCCATTGCCAGGATCGCGCGCAAGGAAACCCCGCCCGAACCTCGTCCCGTCCAGGGACGGTCCCGGGCGGGGGCGGCCCGCGGTCATTCGCTCCTGGGGGCGTGACCGCGGACCGCGTCCATAGCAACGAGGAGATGCCCATGGCGAGGCCCCGTAAACAACCGCACGAGCAACGCTCCAGCGGCGTCCGCAGCGACCTGACGAGCGCCGAGAAACGCTACGTACAGGATCAGTCCCGCAAGGCGGGGCTCAGCGAGGCGGAGTACGTCCGCCGCCGCGTGCTCGACTACACGGTCAAGGCGGCTGGTGTGTCGGCCCGCTTCGACCCCGCTTTGGTGAGCGAGATCAACCGCTTAGGGACACAGCTTCAAGCGCTGGGTAACCTCGCCAACCAGGTCGCCCTCTACTGCCACACGGGGCGTCAGCTGCCGTCCGACTGGGCCGTATTACCGAGCGAGATCAAACGCTTGCTGCGTGTTGTTGAACAGACCATCGAGGAGCAGGTCCGTGGTTCCTAAGCTCCACAAGAAGGGCCGCAGCTTCCGGGCGTCGGCCGGCTACTTGCTCCACGACCCGGGCGCCAAGTCGGCCGACCGCGTCGCGTGGACGGCGACACGCAAC